CCTAGCCCCAGGCAGCTAGCAGCTGGTCCTGCACTGAAGCAGGACGGTTCAATGGCCTTTGTTTATTTTCTGTGCAGGCTGATGCAGCTCTAGGTGGCAGACAGAGCGATTCCATGTAGCTGAGGGAAAAGGGGGTATTCGTGTTTCCCACCCCCAGCTGGAATGCGGGAAGTTTCTTCCCTCCTGTGTCTCGAGGGCAGGGGGGAAACCCCTTCCCCAGCACTCACTTCTGGATCTGCTCATCCGACAGCCCCCGTGGATTCCGGATCGAGATTTTTGGCACTTCATTGGGATACTAGAAAGAAACAAATCCAGGGATGAATTGGGCCCAAAGTCCTGCCCTGCCCCTCTCTGTGAAGCGTGGCTGCACTCCTGGGGGTCAGGCACCGTTACCTTACCTGTGGGGGCACAGACAGCACGAGAGTGAAGCAGACGTACTGAGAGTCCTGATCCTCCGCAGTCGCAGGGTGCAGGGTAATGCAGATTTCCCAGGGCGCTGACCTGTGAGGACAGGGAGGCTGAGGTGAAGTGTCCAGCTATCCCATGAGGAGTATTAATGAAGGACAGACAGTGCAGTGAGGTGACATGGGCTGCGTATCATCACAGCAGCACAAACCTTCCAGGCAAGCCCTGTGGGGCTGAAAAGGGGCTACAGTGCATGGTGCAGCAGAGGAGACCAGCAGGCTGAGTGTGCCTGTCCTGCCCCCGCAGGGGAAACGCTCATTGGCACAGGGCCAAGGTGCACTAGCAGCTCTGAGGAAAAGGAGCAGAGATTGGCAGTAGCTCAGGTACGAGCCAGGGAGCACAGCGTGCTGGAGCGCCGGTGTAGGGCTAAGGACAGCAGAACCCTCTCCCTGAGCGAACACTCAATCCGGACACGGTGACCATTGGAACTTTATTCTCAGCTCACCAGGGCCTTGAATCCCAAGTGCAGAATCCACAGTTGTGTACACAGATGTTACGGGTGTCCAAGCCAGTCCAAGGATTGTTCCCAGCAGCACAGCTCTGAGATCCGACTTCGGAGATAAACGTACACCAAAGTGGTGAAATCTCACCCCTCAGAATTAGTGACACCCGGTAATAGCACAAATACCTGCCATTTCCTCGAGACACCTGCAGCTCATCCAGGTATATGGATTCCAAGACCTCCACTTCTGATGGCAAAGCCCTGAGAATAGAGAAGGGACATCACACAGCCACTCTCTCTTGTTGACTCCCTCCTCCTCTTCCTCCCTGAGCAATGCACAGGTCTGCCTAGGACCTTATACAGCAGAAGCATCTCAGAAACTCCCAATCATTTACAAATAGAAATAATAATACCATGAACATTTGTTTTAAAGAGACATTGTCTAGGTAAAAGTGATGTGGAAGGCAGCAGGGTCTAGTGAAAAGAACAACGGGCTAGGACTCAGAAGACTTGCATTCTATTCCTGGTTCTGCCACTGACCAGTAGTGTGACCTTTGGCAAGTCACTTCCCTCCCACCTTTGTCAGTGTTCCCCATTTAGATAATAGGGGGTAGCCGTGTTAGTCTGTATCTACAAAAACAACAAGGAGTCTGGTGGCACCTTAAAGACTAACAGATTTGTTTGGGCATAAGCTTTCGTGAGTAAAAACCTCACTTCTTCGGATGCATAGCTATGCATCCGAAGAAGTGAG